AATTCTGTCCTCACATTGGCTCATTCTGCCATGTAGACTTTCATTGGAGTTTTTAATCTCCTGGAAATCTATTTGCATGTGTTTTATGGATTCCATTTGTTTCCTATGTTGGGATTCCATCATGTTCCTGAGCTCCTCTCTAGATTTATTAATCATGCCTTGCACTATGAGCACAGTCTCTGCTGTTATCTGAGAAAAAATTCCTGATTTCATTTTTTTCAGATCCTCTTTTTTTTTGCCAGTTCAGGGAGTCCAGGTGATTGAGTATTAGAGTGTTCCATCTTGTTTCCCTTTGGGGTTGCTGTAGGTGATCTGAAAGTCTGGTTTTGAGACTTGTTTACATGTCTTCTCATTTCGAAGGGGGAGGGGCTGCTGCTAGCACCCATGCAGTTCACCTCCCGTGTGCTGGCAGGGGTGGTATGGTGGCCCGGAAGCCTCCTCTTGTGCTCTGAGAGCAGCTCACCTTCTGTGTGCTGGCAGGGCAGGACTGGGGTTTTTGATCTCTACTTTTCTGGGCTGATTATTTTCTGGCTCAGTCTTATGTTCAGGGAAAAGGGGTTGTTAGCAGTGAGGAGCTAGAGGAAGCCTTGGCAGCTGAATACGCTGGCGGCCCGCGGTGTGCAGCAGGCTTCTCCATTCTGGTGGCTGCACATGAGAACCCCTGGAGGAGCTGGAGGTCAGGCCAGCAAACAAACACAAACTAAGCACTGCACAAACACAAACCAGATGCCCAAGCCCCTGGCCACAGACTTGATGCATGCGATGTGGGCTGGAGTTGAGCTCCAGTGCTTTCTGAAGCTGCCCACATCCTCTGTGTGTGCAGCTGGGTTTGGGGACCACTCTCGAAGAGTTGAGGGGACCCAGAAGCCACTCCTTCTGAGAAACCCCCGTAAACCACAGGGCCACTGGCTGAGAGTCAGGCCCACGCCCTGGGCTCCTGGAGACTGGCTTGGCTGTTTCCTCAGCAATGTTTAGCAAGTTACTTGACTTCTTTCAACCATAATTTCTCCCATCTGTAAAAAGGGAATAGTAAAAGTGGCATAGCCTTGGGAGCTCACTGGGAAATCTACAGGTGTGTTAAAATGCTCATGGGGTGAAGCTTGGTGCTCTGGCTCTTGGTCCCTGCTGCAGGGACATTGGCAACAGATCTGAAGCTGAGCTCACCTGAGGGCATTCAGCAGTCCCTCCACGCTGTCTGGGGCCTGTTCCTTCAGGACCTTTATGCAGCCTTTCATCTGGAGGAGAAAGCACAGTCTCATGAACATCCAGTCACTTCTGTCCATTTCACTTTCTCCCCATCCTAACACCTGTCTGTAACAATATCACAGCATTTCTGCCCACAGAAATGAAAACAGGATCTCCTCTCCCTTCAAGCTGAGCAGCAGCTGTTTCTCTAGGCTCCGGGCACTGTAACTGCTAGTGATTTCCATACTGCACTGCTGGTGTACATGTTCATTTGGGGGACAAACACTGGAAACTTTGATTTCCGTGTCACTTACTTCAAGCTAAGTGCAGGATACAAAGCCCTCTGCTCAGTGCTGAGATTCACTGAATGTTTTACAAACCTGATAATTATATACCTCTTTCTGCCCACAATGCTTTCCTTTCTCCAGATGTTTGGGAAACTCTTCCAACTTTTGTTCAAGAAGATCTCTTCTGAGCCCCAGGCAGAGTGACTGTCACCTCTGAGGTTCCAGTGCCACTGTGGCATTTATCAGACCCCTTGCAGAGCTCCCTGCCCAGAGTAGTCTCCCTGCTAGCCCTGACCTCCTGGAGGTACATATCTAGACCTCTATCACCTTTCACAGGACTGGGGAAGGGCAACAGCCAAGGCTTGAGCCCTATGGAGGCCGAATGGATCTCATCTGTTAGCTTGGTTGTATTTGTATGAACTTAGACAAGCGTCTTAGCTTTCTGTGCCCTTGGAATAAAAGTTACTTAAAATATGAGCAGTACATGAACATTAAATCCATAAAGATCACATTATCTTATGTATATGGTGCAGCTAATCAGTTGTTTTAAACTCAGATGCTCACAGTATGTATTAGATTTGCTTGGGCTGAAAGCTTCTTTTATAATGGTTGCTTATAAACTTTTTCTGTGGCTGTATTTCTGGGATGTCAAAAGTTTGATCCTAAAGACCTGATACAATCTATAAATCATGGAGGCAGTCAGGACATTTGGTAGGCACATATAGGCTCATTGAGAAAGAATATCACAGTTGGTCAGTGCTGTCCGTCATGGTCCGGACTGGGAGAGGCTGTGAGCAGGCAGCCCTGTGTCACTCCGGGCTTGGGGTGACATCGGAGAGGCAGGGATGCGGCCCCTCCTACTAGAGCTTCCAGCCTGGTGGGAGAGAGACACAGATATCTCATTATCCAGGGTGCTAGTGCGGCTGTAAAGCCTCCCAAGAGGCAGTGACATAGATGTGGGAAGAGACTGAATTTCTACTTCTATTTCAGGTTGCTTAAAGCTGGGGGTGTGAATACAAGACACTGCCAGAGACGCTGTGGGGCCAGACCAGTGTGAAGCACACTAGGAAATTGAGGGCTTTTTCTTGTAGAAAATACCCTTGACAGCACTAAACATTCCAGGAATGGGGCTGATATGGAAAGGGGCTGGGAAGAACCAGGACCGAAGAGGGGGATCAGTGAGACCCCCCGAGGGTGTGGGGCCTGGAGAACAGAGGGTAAGGTAAGTAAGCCTCAGTCTGACTGATCACACAGGAAGGTGAAGAGGGAGGACAAGCTGCTAGGACCCAGGGACTCAGCTCTAGGCTTCTGAGCCAAACCCTGTGTGGGAGGACAGGGAAATACCCCGGGCCGGAACAGGTTTGTTGGTGGAGGAAAACATTTGGTTTGGGGCTGGCCACGTCTCAGGTGGTCCACAGGAAGTAAGTCTGAAATGATGGGTGAAGTCCAAGCTGGAACAAGGGTTAAAGAATGGTTCCGCATGGCTCATTTCATAAAATTCTAAAGAACTTATTTGAAAACAGAACCTCAGCTAAATTACCCACCATTCCAAGCACTCAAGATTATTATTTGTTCTCTAAATGGCTGACCCCCTGTGCATGATTTTTCTCTCTGGGGATTCTCTCTACTAGAGTACTATTCCTTCCCTCTGTCCATTTAGAAAAATCCTGCACCTTCTTCAAGGACCTCCTCAAATTTCACCCTACCCCTAAGCAGCATGTTTCTCCCTCTGGTTTTACAGAGCTCTCTGCACATCTATTCTGCAAACCAGGGCCTGGGCTTTGTGCATGGATGCATGGCACCTCTTGCAGGGCCTCACAAATAAACATTTGTTTCTTCACAGCTGATGCTGCCCCCCTAAAGACTTACAAACCCGGTGCCTGTAACTGTGGTTCACAAGCAGACTGTACCTGGAGGATGACCCTCCATGTTGTCAAAGAAAATGACCCATCTCAAATAGACACCATCCTGGTGATCCTGCCACTGTCTTAGACCCACATGCAAAGCTCAACAGGACAAGCCTTTCTTATTCACCTCCATGAACAAACAGACTTCATCAAAATGCCTGTGAAAACTGGCACTGTGCACTGTTTATCACCTTGATAGAAAGACTCTGAATGACATGTAAAGCTAAGCTTTTCAAAAGTTAGGAGTATGAGGCTTAATTGCACCCAGAAATCTTTTAACTGGTGGACTGTGTGACAAATTAATAAATGGCAGTGGGAAATGAGAGTATCTTGATTACCAGTCTATTTATACTCAGGCTATCGTATGAAAAATGTTAAAGCCTCACAAAGAACACAGTCAGTAGATTTACCAGTATGAAAAGATCTCAATAATACACTGCTATACAAATGAAATGCTTTTTTTTCTGGTATCGGGACCTTGCGCTTCCGAGGCAGGCGGTGGAACCACTGAGCTAAATTCCTGGCCCGATGAAATGCTTTTTAAGATAGCATATATAGCAGGGGCCTAATCTGTGAAGCACAACACACACACACTCATACACACATCTAGACAGAGGGACAGATACATGCTCATATGAATAGTGGTCACCTGTCTGGGGTGAGATTATTACAGATACATTTAATGCTCTACAATTTGATTTCTGTATTTCAAAAACTTATTACTGAATATTCACTTTGTGGCAAATGGATATAACTCTAGTAAAACTCTTGAAGATTTTTATGAAGAATCATGCCCAGGAGCCCACCATTTTTCTTAGCGTTTTATCCTGAGAACCAAGACCCTCAAGGCATGGAATCCAAACTACAATTTTCACTGATGAACTTTTTGCGCTCTTCAGACTCCTGGTTTCTCTGGGAATGCAGGCTTTCTCTTGACAGTAACAGCGCATCGAAGAAAGTATCTGTTCTGTGCAGACTTGTGAACACAGAGTGTGCCACCCAGGCTTAGCCAAGTCGGAATAAGTTACGATCAAGAGGAGGTTCCATTCTACCCTCACAAGGCTTTAAAATAATGCATGATAGACACTGTTAGGTTGGTGCTACAGGCAAATGCTAAAAGGAGATGTGTTTTATCCCACAGATCAACAGAATATAGCCTACACCAAAATCATGTTTCCCAATGGTTTTCATCCATCCATCCATCCATCCATCCATCCACTTGTCTACCCACCCACCCATCCACCCATCTACCTGTCCATCCATCCATCCATCCATCCATCCATCCAGTAAAACTCTGTAGAACCTCTATTGGGTACCAGGCACTAATTGCCAGATGTTGTGCTAGGCAGTGGAGGAGACAGCAGGTGTATAAATCATGTCTTTATCCTTGTCTAAAAAATTTGACTTTGCGGTGAGGTCAGGAAATACAAACTCGTAAGTACGCTGAGGACCAGAGGAAAAAAGTCTGTACTTGTGCAGGGCACATGAAATGTATTCCTGGTTGAGGTGACATTTGCAAAGTGGCTGAAAGAAATCCACTCATTAAAGAGGAGGAGAAAGGGCCCTTTTGGCAGGGGAAAAGGATCACACATGTTTAAATATAGAGTCATGAAATTGGGCAAAAGGTATGGAAACAGGAAAGAAAACTGAAAGGCGAAGTAATGTTGGAGCATGGTGCCTCATTGTCCTGTATCTCCCAACTCTTTGCTCATTAGGATGGATGTGAGATTGGAATCAGCAGTGAATACTGGGTCAGTGGAGGGACAGAGAGCTGCTAAGGGACTAGTCATCTGCTCGAGGCCACTAGGCTGAGGACGCACATTCCAGCTCTGCTCTGCTTGCTGTGTGTTTGGGGCTGTATCTTGGAAAGGCCACTCTCAGTGGGAGACAGAGGCCAGAGGAAGGGGACGAGGTCTGTTGGCGACCCGGGTGGGGCTCTTTTGGCAAGGACTGTGCATGGCTGCTCTTACATCAATCTTGGATGTCTTGCAGAAGGCTCCCACGGGGTGCACGTGGTCGTAGAGGATGATGACCCCCACCATCACCCTCATGCAGAACATGAGCGTCTCTTCACTCGTGAACCTGCTCCTGTACTCCCTGGAAGAGAGAAGACAGCGGCCACAGCACCTCTGCAGCTCAGCACTGCACTGGGGCCCCTCTCTGCGAGGGGCTGCTCTCTGTATCTTCTCTGCAGAGCAATCCTTGGCCCGCCACCACCGGGTTAATGTGCTCCTGAAGAGACCGTGACCATGAGGGTAATTCCTCTCGAATCTATCCAACCGGCAGTTCAGTGGGAAAATAAGGTAAATGGGAGGCCAGTAAATTCTCGCTTCTGCCCTTCAGCAGCCGCTCACCATGCACATCACCCCCGCCCATCAATCTTGAATATTTTATAGCAGGTCCCTCTGGCTGTCCAAGATTATAGAGAATAATGGCTTCATTACAGAGACAAACAATTGGGCTCATTTCTACAGAGCAGCTATCGGGTCTGCCGTCAGAGTAACTTCCTTTGTTAAGACCTGGGGTGCAGACTGGATTGGATTGGCAAAGAAATCATACACCATTCCCTGAGCAGAGAGCATTTGTGGAGTCTGAATTTTGTCCACTTATCTTGATGGGGTCCCTGATGATTCAGATAATTTCAGCCAATTCTAGAGATTTCCTTAGCATCTATTTCATCATGAATTGGCCCATAATGAAGGTGGGTGCTATTTCTGACTTCAAATAAATCTTAATTTTGGTACAGGTGAAATATTTGAAATTAATTCCCCCTTGTGTATGAACAAAACATGTTTTATAAGGTGCTCCTGATACTTCTGGCTTTCCTGAATATTCTGAAAAGCAGATGTTTGGGAAACTCCATCAGATGAGGAAACCAAGGAAGGACCAGGGAGGTCAGGGCATCTACTCATTGGCACAGCAGAGGATACAGATGTATCCACATCCCGATTTTGAGTGGAGACTTCCCCATAACTACGCTGCTTCATCATCAGTAACTCAACCAATTTTTAGCTCTAGCAACTAGTAACTAGCTTAGGTACAGAGAAATGAGACACAGAGAGAGAGAGAGAGAGAGAGAGAGAGAGAGAGAGAGAGGGAGAGGTCCATTATCCGTTATTCTGCAATAGTCATACCACTTCTACTTTCCTACTCTGATTCTAAATCTCTTAGGTCTTCTCTATAATATCTATAATAATAAGTCATCTAACTCCTCTATTTGGTCTTTACATATCTTCATATGTATATATGTGTATGTATGTAGATAGGTGTGTGTGTATGTATGTAGGTGGGTAGGTGTGTGTGCATTTGCAGGACTAGGGATTGAGCCTAGGGCCTTCACACTGAGCTACAACCCCAGCCTTTTCTCTTTATTTGTTTTTGAGACAAGATTTCATTAAGTTGCCCAGGCTGAGCTTGAATTTAAGACTCTCTTGCCTCAGTCCCCTAGAGTGCTGAGACTATGCTGCCACATGTGGTCATCCTTACATATCTTCTAGCAGAACTTTGAATGTGGCGTCTGCCATCTAACAAGCTATGCAACCTTTGGGAGGTCAATCAGCCAATTTGAGTCTCAGCTTCTTGGAATACAGAAAGAAAGATAATGACACCTGCTACTCAAGAGTTCCTTCCGAACTTGAAGCAGATGATATACTTGGAAACTTTCTATCCTGACCCGCTGGTACATGCCTTCATCATCTTAACAGGACCCAGCTGGGTGAACCACCAACCGTGAACATCCCTTGGGTTCACTTACGGAGTTTCCAGCATGACTTTGCAGACGCTGGTCATTGTGCTGAGGCAGTCTGTGGTGTTTTCTATTGGCAGGGTTTTGTTCTACGTTGGAGGCACAAAAGCATGTTAGTCACACAAGCAGCTTTTCTGCACAAATAAGAAAAAAGCACGTTGCTGCTCAACTCTACTTACTTCGGAGACAAAATGCATGGTGGCATTGCTTAGGGTTTTCAGCATAGGCGTGGCTTCTGCGTAGAAGAGGGACATTCGATTGGCCATCTCATTATTTACTTCATTCTCAATGTCTAGCTGAGGAGAAGAGGAAGAGAAGATGCAATTAGAAACATAAAGGGCTGTCCTCTCCCTGGGCCCTGCCTGACCCAGGAAGCAAAAAAAATCCACGGGGGAACAGGAGGCCCCAGGACTCACATGCATGTTGTTGATACGATTGCGACTTATTGTTCTTCGGTAGTAGCTGAAGTCATTCTGAATGGCTGGGTTCCTCATCTGAAGTAAGGAGAGAGGAGAGAGATGGTCATTCGCTGGCAGCAGGTGGGGGAATACACATTAGGAGGCCAGGAACTCAAGTTTGTAAAAATGCAGGACTTCTGTGTTTCCCCGAAATAAGACCTAACGAGAGGGCCAAAAGTGCCAGCCCCAATCAGCCTCGCCTTGCCTTACCTGCATTACAGTGGCCCCGACCAAGAGAATAGTGACGTATAATCTGCTGCTCGCCCCTGGCCATCACCATGGTAATGACCAGCTATTAATTGCAGCTGAAGTTTATTTTCCAGTTAAGTCTTATTTCTGGGGAAACATGGTCTTTGTTACACAAGAATCAAAGCAACTTCTGGTTAATAGTAAAGACCCATAACTTCATCATTCTAAATCATGCCCTATGCTTGCAGTGGGCTAGATTTCAGGGAAAGTCTATTTGATCCCAGTTTTTCTCTGACTTTACTTGGAAAATTTTTAATTTTCATATATAAGTCATCATCTTAAACTACTTCAACCATGTGAAATGCAAATCTCCTGAGCTGAACGTCACTCTGGGGAAGGAGCTACCCCTGCCGCTGTTCCCCACCCTCAGCCCTGGCTTGGGACAGGGCTGGACACCTTCACCGTGCGCTGGGTCTGACCTTCAGCTCATCAAATCGAAGTGTAAAATGCAAGATTTCTGCAAACTCCTTGGCCAGGGCCTGCTCACGCTCCAGGTGCTGGGTCGGCGTGTAGGGGGGACAAGTCAGGGACTCCAGTAGGCTCTGCAGGGCCGTCTCTGAAAGCCAAAGGGGTGAACGTGTGTTTTAGGGGCTCGCAGCAACCATCCTGAGCTCTGCTCACCATTTCAGAGATGGCCGCACTGGTCTTTGGTTCCCATGTGCTGCCCCTGGCTGTGTCAGATGCCTCGAGAGTGGACAAGGGGGTCCCAGGCCTGAGCAGACACCTGCACGGCCACACAGTGTGGTCAGCACCTGCTACGCTCAGCTCATGGGCCTGCTGGTCTGATTCCCGACACTGTGAGGAGACCCAAGTGCGCCCGGCTGCCCTGAGAGCCAGTCGTGGGGCAGGAACAGGCCGGTGCTTTGAACAAGAGCTCAGAGCCCCGGGTCCATGCACGGTGAATTCTGCTCCCCAGCTTTGCTGTTCCTCTGCATTCTGACCTAACCCAGGAATACTCTTCTCCAAACCTGCCGCTATCTTTACCCCCAGGTCTGCTCTGACGACAATCTCATTCTCCCTTTGTTTGTCTCTAAACAATCTACAGTTTTTATTTCCCTAGATTTATAGCAGCACAGAGTCATTTACCAGGGGTCCCCAACCCCAGGGGCACGGCCTGCTAGGAACCAGGCCTCACAGTAAGAGGTGAGCGGCAGGAAGCAAGCGCAGCTTCCTCTGTATTTCTAGCCACTCCCTATTGCTCCACCAAGGAGCCTGAGCTCTGCCTCCTGTCAGATCAGTGGGCCTTAGATGCTCATAGGAGCTCGAATTCTCCTGGGAATGCAAATGCGGGGCCCTAGGATGCGAGGACGTCTGAATCACCCCAGAACCACCCTCTTACCTAGCCTTCCCCATTCCCCAGCCATGGAAAACTGCTTTCCTTGAAGCTGGTCCCTGGGGCCAAAAAGGATGTGGCCTTTGGAGCCCGTCCTCCTCAGCAGGGGTTGGCAGACCGCAGCCCCCAGCCCAAATCTGGTCCGCTGTCATTTTGGTAAACAAAGTGTTATTAGAAGATAGGCAGGCTTCTTCCTTCCTGTATCGATGACAGTACTTTGCTGCTCTAGTGGCAGAGGTTGAGGAATTGGAAGACAGAGGACAGGGCCTAGGCTCAAACACCGACTCGACTACCCAGCTGCCAGGCCTGACTGCCGCCGCTGCCTGCACGCGGCCCCGACATGCCTCGCACACAGGGGTGCCGCGCCCCCGGTGAACTCTCACGCACGGCAACCCTGCTCACACTGAGGGACGCTTCTTCTGCTGAGCTAAAACTGGGCTCCTGGGGATTTCAGTTTATTGGGTCGAGCAGCAAACTGAGGGAGCAGAGAGAGAAGCTCATCTGTCTTCTACCTCTGCCTAAAGAACTCTTTTCTTGTGAATCTGGTTTGGTCTGGTCAGCGACTCCACTTGACGTCAGCCCTAGGGCTTCAACACCGTGCTCCTTACTTCCCCAGAATATTTCCATTTCTTTCTTCCTCTCGAAACCTGGCACCCTTACGGTGGAAGCAGAGTAGAAGATGACCGCTGCCTTTTTCACCTGGGGCACACGGAGCCAGCCAATGGAAGCGTGCTTGGCTTTCCTGCAGGGGACAGGGGTTGGACTGCACTGCGGGGCACACGGAGCCAGCCACCAGCCTGAGCTGCCTGTGCCCTTGCTCCTGCTTGGCCATGCTGTACCCACACACTTTTGGTTTTCAGTCTTTGATTTTGTGTTCGAAGCTTAAGGAAAGAATGCTATGCTTATTTTCTTGAACTGCACTGAATTGAACTTGTCCCATGACTCCAGCCAGCCAAGTTCTTTATGGGTTAGTAGGTAACTTGTATTTTCCAACATCTGTTTTTCAGGAAACTACCACATTCCCTCAAAAATAAGACCCGGTCTTATATTAATTTTTGCTCCAAAAGATGCAATGTGGTTTATTTTCAGGTGACATCTTTTTTTTTTCATGTACCACAATCTACATTTATTTATGTACAAGAATCTACACTTATTTATCTATTTGTGTACAAAAATCTACATTTACTCAAATACAGTTATGTCATCTTCTGGAACATTGTCATAACTCAATACATCCCTCGTGTGTTGTGACAGACATAATAAATGTGTCCATCTGGCTGACCATCATAACCAGGGCTTATTTTAGAGGCAGGGGTTATATTATGAGCATCCCAAGAAACTGTGCTAGGGCTTATTTTCTGGCAAGGTCTTATTTTGAGGGAAATGGGGTATGAAGACGTGGCCATCACTGAGCACAAGACAAAGGGACCCCCGCTCTCAATGTGCCGGGAGAAACACTCACAATGTGCCAGGAACTTCACAACAGAAGTGTGAGCAACTCAAAGAAATGAGACTAGAAAGGAGTATTGTTTATGAATGGCTGCCTCCGGTACCAGGTGGTCACTGGGCATTTCCCAACATGCTCAGCTGCTCCTGCTGCCTCCTCAAAAGACAACACAGAGCCTCTCGTGTGAGACAGACCAGGACACAAACCAGACCCACCGAGCCGGATGGAGAACTCGTAGAACCTCTTCAGCCTCACAACCAGGGGACACACCGCATTCCAAGCCTTTTCTTGAAGCTGAATGTCATTGGGGTTTTGAATCGCCTACAAGGATACAGTAGAATTGTGCATTTAATAATAATAATAAGCACAGCATCAATGTGTCCGAGGATGGAGAAAGGATTTTAGTTAACAAAGACAATCTGCTGTTCTGTGAAGGCACACCACTTAAGCTGAGGATGACTCCCTGGCCTGTCCCCCAAGATGCTCATTTCAAAGGAAATCTCAGCACTGGAACGTGAGCCAATGGCTCTGCAGGTAGATCTTGAGTTATCTTACTCATTTTGGTTCTCCTGAACCCTAAAAAGCACACTTGGACAGGAAGGAAATGTGGCCCCACTATTACCATTTGGTTCTGAAGTAGAGTTAGTGCTCATTCAAAATGGCAAATTCTGTAGATAATTTTCTCTCCAATATGTATTATATTCCTGCCAATCTGTACTGTAACCTGTATGGCCTAAATTCAATGAGTAGAAAAACCATGCCTGGTAGCCTGTTGCTTTCTGAGCAACACGGCCCTTGGCTGGGTATCAGCAGGCTGAGGGCGTCAGCACGATGAGGGTGGAGTCACTCTCACAGGGATGGTGGCGGAGGCAGCAGGGTGTGTCAGTGCACTCATGTTTTGATATTTTCACAATACTAATGCTTTCCATAACGCTTGTGTGGTAGCATTGCCTACGGTCCCAGCTACACAGGAGGCTGAGGCAGGAGGATTACTTAAGCCCAGAAGTTCAAGCTAGCCTGGGCAACATAGTAAGATGCCCCTCTCAAACAAAGCAAAAAAGAAAACCATACAAACTAAAATCAAAACCAAAAAACCTAATGCTTTTAAGTAAAAGTTTCTTGCTGTAAAGGCATGGTGAAGTCTAAAAAGTCAAACTGATGACTTATGTATTTGCTTTGGCTGTTTTGTTCTTTGTGAGACATTTAAGATGATATACTTGGGCTGGGGATTTAGCTCAGTGGTTTCGCCGCCTGCTGTGCAAG